TTTGAATCAGAAAGAAAAATAATGTTTAATGCATTTTCTTGAATTATTCTCTTTCGGCTATATCTTTAACAAAGCACTTATTTGTATTTGTTTCGTTAGGTTCCAACAATATTACAAGATGATTCATTAGACCAATCTTCAAAATCGGTAATTTAAATATTGCTAATTTTCTCGTCTATCGTGGCCGCATAAAGGTGAACTCGATCATGGTGTAATTTGGTTGTGCGTTGGAATTTCCTGTTAATTTGCATCATTATTTTCTTAAATTAATAGGCCTAGCACGTCAACGTTCTGTTAATTGTGAAACTGCATGAGATATAAACAAGGAGTAGTCTTAGCATGAGCTAGGTATACCAGGAACCTGACCAATCACATGACCAACTAAAGACCACGTGATACACAGCTTCCTTGGACCGACAATTGTGAAAAAAATTAATCATGCCGTAATCTCATGGTCAGTCTTTTCCTGAACCATAAACATTTATTGATTAATTTAATGTACAAATCACGTGACATGATCATTGACCCCATGACCTATAACCAGAGGCGTAGCGAGGGGGGGGGGGGGGGGGCGGGGGGGGGGGGGGCGGACCGCACCGGGTGACACCAAATAGGGGGGGGGGGGTGACACCAAGGTAAAAAATAGCAAAATATATAGAGAAAAACTTGAGGGGGAGGGGGTGCAAATAAAAAGTTTGAGGGGGGGGGGGTGCAAATCAAAAGTTTGAGGGATGGGGTGCAAATCGAAAGTTTGAGTAGTGGGGGGGGGGGGTGCAAATCGAAAATTTTAAAGTTTGTCCCCGGGAAGGGTCGCTACTTATCTGGGGGGGGGGGGGGGGGGTGTGACACCATTAAGTGCCGCACCGGGTGACACCCGACCTCGCAATAAACCTGAACAATAAACATTTATTGATTAATGCAACGTACAAATCACGTGACATGATCCATGACCCATGACCTCATGACCATAAAACCACATGACCACATCGCCGTGACCACATGACCCTGACACCTGACCCCCTGATCCTATGACTCATGACCTATGCCTACATGACATCTATCCCCCCCCCCACCACCACCCCCAGACAACTTGATTCACCTAATGAATTCTTAAACTCATCATTTCATAACTTGATGACCCATGGTGACATGACCCCTGACCCCTGATCCTATAACCTATGACTGCAGGACATTTATACCCCCCCCCCCCCCACCCCCAGACAACTTGATTCACCTTATGAATTCTTAAACCCATAATTTCATAACACAATGACCCTTGATAAAAATAATTCCCGACCTTTAACCCCTTAAATCAAAAACTCACATACTGCATACCCTTTGACCTTTTGACCTTCGACCATACAACCACCTACACCAGGGGTCGGCGGAAGAGCCAAAAGTTACAATTTTCAACATTTCCCTGGTTTTAAAGAGCCACTAACATTTTTTTATTTCAAATATTTTATTATTTTATTAAGATTATTAGTATTTGTTCAAGGAGCTGGAGAGCCGCATCTTGATATCAAAAGAGCCGCATACGGCTCGCGAGCCGCAGGTTGCCGACCCCTGGCCTACACACTTAACTCTCCTCTCTTAACTTAAAATATATTTCTAGAAGAAAATAATAGGAAACGGCTTTTATATGCACATATAAGAAATCAAATACAGAGCATCTGTAATCATTTATGTTTATCAAAATTTCTTTTAAAGACGTATATGTCTCCATTAAAATACATATTATGGAGCAACTTTCATTGTGAATTTTAAAGTAGTAATGACAATAATATTTACATATTTTTTTTTGCGTTTAAAAGGATATTCAGAAACATTTAAAAAAATGCAATGTAGATATTAAATACAGCATTGGGATCAGCAGATATTTAAAGCTTTTATAGAAAAAACACGGTGCAAAAAATGTTGGGCTTTTAGCGCAAGACATGTTTAGAAAATAACACGCATTTCAACAAAGCGAAAATCACTTGCAACGAACACATAATCAAACAAACAAACAAACAAACATACAAGCACATGCTTCGTGCTGTGAAGTGGTGAGTTAAGAAAAATAATGCAAGACAAGACACAACTCACTCGCAAGTCATGTGACATATCTAAATTTAATCAGTGTAGAAATTGACGAAATTCAGCAGTCAATTATGTATTGAAATATTTTTTTTAGTCCACTTCATTTTATGATATCAATTTATAATTAGCACAACGTACTAAACAGGAATAAGAATATATATATATATATATATATATATATATATATATATATATATATATATATATATATATATATATATATATATATATATATATATATATATATATATACACGTGTGTATGTGTTAAGTTAGATACGTAGTATAGTGTCCGGTGTGATGTTGTAGAAAGAAATATTTTGTCTTCTAAAAATCAACACTTTGGTAGACAGTAAGCCGCGTCTGAGAAAATCTATAGCCTAGTGGGGTCAGCTGGTCCACTTCTGACGTACGCACGGCCACTGTTTAATACAGGAGTAGTTTTTTGCCTAAGCCCAACTAATGAGATTCTAATTTCTCTCTAAACAGAACCCTCTTCCTCTCTCTACCTCCCCACCCCCATCCACCCCACCCCACTCCGTACCCAATCCTATCAGAAGTGAACACGTTCGAAAACAAATTACTAAGTCATCACTAGTTTGTATGTGTGATCGTGTGTATTTGAGTGTGAGGGTTAGTATCTGTTTGAGTGTGGGCGTTAGTGTGTGTCTCTGTAAGTGTATGAGTGTGTATGTATATATGTGTGTGTCTTGGATAGTTGTTATTCTACACTCAGAGGCGTATCGATGGGGGGGGGGGGCAGGGGGTACATATGTCCCCGGGCGCCGACCTTAGGGGGCGCCAAAATGGGTTGTAAAAACAAAGTAAAATGTCATTTTAGCTGCGCTTTTGCATTATAAATAATTTGAGGAGGGGGGTGTGCAAATCGAAAGTTTGAGGGGGGGGGGGGGTGAAAATTGAAAATTTGCTCCCGAGGGGGGCGCCAAATTGAAAGTTTGTCCCCGGGCGCCGGGAAGGGTCGCTACGCCTCTGTCTACACTAAAAGCAACACATACCAAAATTAAACTCTAAATAATAATGAGTGCTCAGTTAAGTTCGCCAAGTTTGATATACTCAAATGCCACTAGGCTTATCGTTTAGGAAAACCTATGTCAATCTACAAAAACCGTATGTCCGATACGCACTATATTAAGTAAAATGTAGGGTAAAAACTACTGCTGATTCGCTTAGACGCGCCCAAGACAAACTGGGTACGAGAAGTAGAGTTTGTCTATTTCAATTACCTCGGGGAGGGGGGGTTAATGTGGTCAGCCCTATACCCAACTTTCTTAGCTTCCCTAACGTGAGTCAGGCACACATCAGAGCTAGGCTATGGAACGGTCAACATACTCGAGTTCTGGTATTCGAACTCGAGGCTTTCAGGTTCGTGTACTATACCATCCGGTCCTCGTAAAAATTGAGCACCAGCATAGTCAACAAGCAAATGCAATGAGCACCTTGCACATCAGTTGAGCACTTAGCACATCAACGAACTCGAAGCCAATTAAGACTTAGCTCATCCGTTAAGCACCTAGCCCAACCTTTGAGCACCCAGTATACCCGCTGAGCACCTAACCGATTGAATGAGCACCTAGCACATTCAGTGAGCACATAGCACATCCTCTAAGCACCTTGCCCATCTATTAAGCACCTATCCCAGTTGATGAGCACTATTCAATCGGTACTTTGCCTACTCAATCAGCATTTTGCCTATTCAATCACACCTTGCCTATTCAATCACACCTTGCCTACCCCTGGGTAAACTGCCGCTGATCCCCCATTCACTATACCCAGACACATTGATTAGGATCAATCCTTTAAAACATCCTCTCCCCCGTTACGGCTGACTGAATAAAAATAGCAACACAAACCACCACGCCTCACCGCTTTCAATTACCAGTAATGCGACGACACGTTTTTTTTTCAAACCCTCAATTTTCACAAACCCATTTACCCTCACTTTTTTTTATTCAAAAAAAAAAAAAAAAAAAAAGAAAAAAAAATCTGGATTAAAGCGCGAAGTACCAAATTTTTCTCTCTCAATATCCTAAGCGACACTAACCAGACAGTTGTACTGTATGTATAGACGGGCCGCCCAGAAGGATTTCAATACATGCAGACGACAGTCACGTGGTTAGCGAATCCAAAAATGGAAGTCATTTGTGAAGAATTGTGGGGAAATAACGAGTGGGTTGGTGTGTGTACTTCCGGTTTGTTTAAACGTACCAGCCCAGACTGCCCATAGAATGGGGAGGTTAAGTAATGGATGGGTTATGGGATGGTCGTGACGTCATCTTGTGATTACAAACTGGTTGTAAAGGTGAATCCTCCGGATTATAAAAAAATCGATATTTTAAAAGAATGAAAGCTTAAGCCAAGTCGCTTGACATTTGTTTTTTAAAAGAGAAAACTACAATAATGCTATTCTTTTAAAAAATGATCTCCAGATTTTAAAAATCTGTAATTTTTGCTAAATGGATTTTATTTTAACTTTGAAAAAACAATAAATTTACATTTCTTTTCCTATTAATTTTAATGTAATTAAAGAACGCGGATAAATTATTTGTTTCTGTCTAATTTATAAGAAAAAATGCGTGAAAAAGAACTCACTTTTATAATGTGATGTGTGCATATTTAAATATATTAATCTTGTGTTGCATTAAAAAATAGACATTTGAAGTTTTTAATAAAAATGAATGTATCAATAAAAAACGTGACGGTACGTATAATACACGAGGTGTTACGTAAGCAAGAATAAAAATAAAAATAAAATTAGGGAGTATTAAAAAACATTGACCAATACTGCAATCAGCGAAGCAGAAAAAAAAAAGATATAAGGCAGATTAAATTGATAATGATAACAACATTGGAAAAGGGGAAGTTACTAGGACACCGACCAGAACAGGGGAGACAACTTACGGGTACTACTAGAGGCCCCAGGCTGTGGGTACTACATCGTCGAGGGCGTTCTGGCTTCTCATCGCCGAAGCAACCGAACGGGAAGACCCCAAGACTATGGGTGCTTGGGCGCCGGGGCTTCTCCCCGCCCTCTCCGAACATGGAAATGGGCAGGATGCCCACGCTATGGGTGCTGGGGCGCCGACTGTCGGCGGACACCGGCAGGATTCCAGCCATGCTCGGGCGCCGGTGGGGGGCACCCGAGGTCCGGTCAGTACTGCCCCGGTGGAGGAAATCTGAGAAGCCACTTACAGAAAAGGGCCCCAGACTGTGCGTGCTGGGCCGCCGGGGCCGGTCGGGACTGAGGTCATCTGTCGTGATGGAGATGGTGGGGTTGTTGCTGGAGGCCGGGCCGTTGCTAGGCGACGCCGAGCTGCCAGACGACGGCGGGACGAGGCTGTGACGTCGGATGGTCTCGATGGGTTTGTCCAAAGTAGATTTTTCATCCTGGAAATAAAAATAGATAAAATAAAAATCTGGATGAATATTTTTACAGAAAAAAAAAATTAAATTAAAATATATATATATAAATAAATAAAAATAAAATCAATTGCACACGGAAGAAAATTGATTCTAAAGGCAGTTATTTTTTAAATTCACAAAACGTATACATTTTTTATAATATTAAGTAAAAATACTTTTTCTTTTGTTATTGGAGAAAAAATATATATCATGTAACAAGAAAAATGATTTTTTATGTCCTTTGTGTCAAAAATAAGTTAGGTAAGGTAAAACTTTTTAAGGTAAAGTATTATTTGCCCCAACTGTTACAAGATTTTATTATGTTAATATTGTGGAACGGGGTGGTGAAGAGGTGGAGCGTGTGAAAGCTAACCCGAAAGTCTTGAGTTCTGATATCTGAGTCTACCCAGCTCGGATGAGTACCTGGCTCACTTTGAGGAAAGTAAAGGCGGCCGGGCATAGTGCTGAACACACCATCCTGTCATACGCTGAGGTCAAGAAACATATAAACTCTACTTCATCTTCCCTATGTATAGTGAGGTAAGCGGATCTTTTACCTATTATGTTGATAGAATTAAAAGTAGAAATATTTTTCACTGAAGCTAGAATAACATATTGGAGCCTCGATCTCCAAATTAAAATCTCGAATACATGTTAATTAATGAACGTCACGGTTGAGTGAACCAGTAGTCTTCTATGCGAGCAGAGTCAGTACAGCACCAAACAGCTGCTAGACGCCACGGAGGGCAATGACCTGAGCGACGCCACCACCAAAAAAAAAAAGGTCTTTCACGTCAATTCATTTTAACTTGAAGGTAACGTAGAGAGTTGTCGCTTAAATTTAGATTGGGCTTTAAGATTTTTTTTTTTTACTCCCCGGGGATTTGAGAACTTTTTGAGGAGACGTAATTGGCTATTAATATTCAATAGGTCTGTATTTCCCTGGGGGGGGGTGTGTGGGAGGGACGGTTTAACTTGATGGTTGGATGGGTGAGTGGGTTTGGTGAGTAGGTACGTTTGGTGGATGGAATAGTGAGTTTGATGGATTGGTGGATACGGTGGATGGAAGAGTGGGTTTGGCGGAAGAGTGGATTAGGTGAAGATGGATTGGCGGATTCGGAGGATGGATAAATGGATTAGGTGGATGGGTGGATTAAGTGGATAGAAAGTAGATTTGGAGGATGAAAAAGTGGATTAAGTGGATGGAAAGTGGATTTCGTGGATGGAAGAGTGTATTTGGTGAATACTATATAGATGGATTGGTGAATGTGAGGGTCGGATACGTGGTTTCGGTGGATGGATGGGTAGGTTTGATAGATGCATGTGTGGATGGATAGTAAATTCGATGGATGTATGTGGTGTATGAACAGATGGAATTGGCTAAAATAGGGTGTATCAATGCATAAATGGACAGAATGATGTATGTGATAAATATATGAAGCATACAGTTTTGGTTAATATGATTGATATTTGAGCATATATTTAGTGTATATAATTGGTTAAATGACGTTATGTAGGATGATAGATGGTGCTGGATGATAATAGTTGATGTTGGATGATGATAGTTGATGTTGGATGATGACAGATGATGTTGGATGATGACAGATGATGTTGGATGATGATAGTGGATGTTAGATGATTATAGTTGATGTTGATGGGGTGTTGAATAGGACCAACAAATATCCATGAACATAAAGCAATTTTTTTTTCCAAAAGACACAGTTCACTAAATTCAGCGTTATAAACAAAGTAAAGCATTACTTCAAACTACGTAATGACGTTGATATAAAATTTGGTACTAGAACATTTAACTGTAGATAAAAAATTTGGAATAAACACCCCCGTTCTCTCCCCCCCCCCCCCCCGAACCCCTAAAGAAACATCACAGAAACAAAAACCATGGGAATAATTTGCACCCAACTGCTCAAGAATCGGCTGAGCCATTCGTTACTGGCGCTAAATTACAGCCCTAGTAATCATCGGCTCCCTAATGCCCCACCCCCTCTACGCCTCACTGAACGCACGTGTAGACTACCCAGGCGTAAGTACTAATGTTAATCATTGGTCGGGCGGTTGCTAGTCCTACTGGTGGACTGGTCGTTAATTACTCGTCGGCGAAGACAAAGAAGTGAGTGTGAGAATCATGAATGGAAACTTAGGGCAGGTTCTGAAGGGTCGGTCTAGATCTGAATACAGGACTAGTCATTCCATTTCTGGTTATGATAAGTTACTTCTAAAAACTAAGGCGTGATAATGGGGCCGTGTGGTCGAATGGTAGCGCGTTCGACTGCTAACCGGAAAGTCTCGAGTTCAGATCCTTGGTTTGAGTCATTACGGCGTCCACCCCAGTACCTGACTCACGTTAGGAAAAGTAAAGGTGGCAGGTATTTTGCTGACCACGTCATCCCTTGAGATGCCGAGGTAAATGAAACAAATGAACTCTACTTCACCTGCCCAAAAGACCGTAAGGTTCAAAACGTTACTTAACCTATTTAATCAGTGATATAAATACAAATGTAAGGATTTTATTACCCTAAACCAGGGGTCGGCAACCTTTTGAGACGGAAGAGCCAAAAGTTACAATTTACAAAATCTCACAGTTTATAAAGAGCCACTAACATTTTATGTCAATATTATGCTATTTGATTAGGATTAGGTAAATGAATTTAAAATAAATATTATTTCATACTTAAACCCATTTATTATATGCATGGTTCGCACAAAACATAATAAAGTTCTTTTAGCTAGTTCTGTTATATAACTATACCACTATCCCTTCCCAATTTAGAAGCTAATAACTAAAAAACTATCTCACTCAAATCAACTTAATGCACACTGACTCATACAAAATGCCTTCTGAATAAAATAACAATTAGGCTACTATTGAAAATATTCGGGGAAAAAAGTGTGCACTTCGGTAGTGGAAATCATGGAACCATTGCCACGGGGCTGGCCACATCACAGTTGTGGAGCTGATAAGCTGCAGTCAGCTGTCTGTATACGCTCTACTCCACCTATTCTTAATGCTTTTATCTTGTTTAAAGTTTTTACACTATAATATTTTTTTGAGTTATGAAAAGAAAATAATATAATTATTATGGCGAGCCGCATCCTGAGATCGAAAGAGCCGCATGCAGCTCGCGAGCCGCAGGTTGCCGACCCCTGTCCTAGCTGCAACAGTACTCAAGTTGTTGTGTTCACAGTCAGACACACGTACACACACACGCACACACACACACAAACATACGGACAAAATTACCTAGCTGCAACAGTACTCAAGTTATTGTGTTCACAGTCAGACACACGTACACACACACGCACACACACAAACATACGGACAAAATTACCTAGCTGCAACAGTACTCAAGTTATTGTGTTCACAGTCAGACACACGTACACACACACGCACACACAAACATACGGAAAAAATTGCAAAACTAAGTATTTCCGACTCAGAACGTAGAACGTCCAGATTTCGATGTTTCTGCACGATTACAATGCCTCGTGTATGCTTAGTATAGGAGTAAGTTGTAAAGGGAAATAACTTATACGTAAGTTCGCAATAATGGTTTAAAATAGAAACAAAATCAAATTTATTAGAACTAATCGTTGTGTTTCATTTATACAGAACAAAGAAAAGCAATTTATGTTTATCTAATTTGTTTTATCTGTTTACTATATTAAAAATTTAAAATTTGGCTCTAATTTAAATATAAAACTAGTATTATTTTAACCCTTTAATTTACACAGATACAAAAGGTTTTTCTTTAAATACCGCTCAATGTTTACTGTGACATAAATTATTGTGTAAATAAATAATAAAAGTGCGAAAAGAAACGGGTAATAGCAAGCATTATATCGTTTGCGCAGTTTCCCGTTTGCTCAATATTCGTCATTCAGGAGGATCAGGGGTCGGCAACCTTTTGGGACGGAAGAAATAACATTTTGTCATAGATCGTCAGCACTCCAAATGCTAACTTCTTCACCTTACTGTAGCATCCTGCAAGGCTATTCCATAAGTCACATAATAGGGCCTTAACTCGCGACATTTCTATTAGAGTTGTCCAGTTGTACAGTGAAACGTGCATGTTTTACTGGACCTCCAAATAATCTAACTTGCTCTTGAGGCCTGTGAACTTATCGCTCCACAAATGTTTGGTTTTCAAATCTAACAATTTAATTTGAAGCGAACCAGCATCAATTCCAAATAGTTCAAAGTTAATCTCGTTTGTTTTTGTGTTGAGAGGATCTACTATGACCGTCAGAGTGCTTGCATTTCTTTTGAATTGCTCAAATCTCTCAGTGAACCCATCCTTCATTTTGTTTATAATAATACTGAAGTGATTCATGTTAATAGTAACGTTGGTTTTATCATGATATTTTTTTCAGATTTTTCGAAATAAAGTAATTTACTGCTCTCCGTGTCTTCAACAAAATGAAGCAATTTTTGCGAAACAATCTTCTTCTTCAAGCAAGGTATAGGCTGGGTTTTTCTTTCCATGCAGTCTTACTTTAACTCGTTATTTTCTTTGTGATCTTCACCATGAAGTTGAATGTTGCAATTTGGGATAGACAAGTTTATAGGAAGTACATTAAAATATGGCGTAACTAAATATTCTAAGAATAGCGATTGTTTATTGTTTATGTTTATTATTTTATCGTTCATTACCGAGTGTTGCAGAAAAATATTTTTGTGAGTTTTTAAAATAAAATAAAATGATTATTAATATTTGTGTATGGAGCAAAAGAGCCGCATCTCGACATCAAAAGAGCCGCATGAGGCTCGCGAGCCACAGGTTGCCGACCCCTGCCCTAAACATATCCCCCGTGATACAACTTCATTACACAATTACACAAAGGTACACATTTGATTGATTTTATTGTAAATTAAAAGCAATAAAACTTACACATACACAAGTCACACACACACACACAAGTCACACTCACTACTAACTAGGTCACACATTACACAAAATACTCACACAACACGCACTCAACACAAATAGTTTAACTCACAAAAACCATCAAACATAACACACGTAGCCCACATAGAGCGTAACACGAGCTCACTGAAACACATTTAACATCCAACGCACGTAATACACAACACACTACATACACATCTCACACATTACAGTCTAATCGAGATAAACACACACAATACACATTACACACATACTCGTACACGGCACACAACATACAACACACAACACACTTAACACACTACATACACATCTCACACTCTACACTCCAATCGAGATAAACACACACAATACAAATTACTCACATACTTATTAAACACAGCAAATGTAGCACAAAACACACAGCACACTGAACACCTACATCACACACAGCACACACAACACACATCACACGACACACAGCAAACTCACAACACACAACACACACATCACACACAACACACAACCCACATCACACACATATAACAGACATAGCACACACAACCCACCATACACACACAACACAAATCACACACAACACACAACCCACATCACACACACACACAACAGACATAGCACACATACACACACATAACACACAACTTACCAAGCTCATCCCTAACGATTGCAGGCTCTGGTTCTTGCGGGCTGTCTTAGGGCTGCAGCCGATCTTGTTGCGTTGTGTTTCTGGGGTACCTGGTGCTGGGGGTAGAGATAACATAAGTCATGTGACTTGGTGCTAGGGTAGAGATAACATAAGTCATGTGACTTGGTGCTGGTCAGATAACAAAAGTCATGTGACTTGGTGCTGGTCAGATAACAAAAGTCATGTGACTTGGTGCTAGGGTAGAGATAACATAAGTCATGTGACTTGGTGCTGGTCAGATAACAAAAGTCATGTGACTTGGTGCTAGGGTAGAGATAACATAAGTCATGTGACTTGGTGCTGGTCAGATAACAAAAGTCATGTGACTTGGTGCTGAGGTAGAGATAACATAAGTCATGTGACTTGGTGCTGAGGTAGAGATAAGAAACGTCATGTGACTTGGTGCTGGTCAGATAACAAAAGTCATGTGACTTGGTGCTGAGGTAGAGATAACATAAGTCATGTGACTTGGTGCTGAGGTAGAGATAACATAAGTCATGTGACTTGGTGCTGAGGTAGAGATAAGAAACGTCATGTGACTTGGTGCTGGTCAGATAACTTAAGTCACGTGACATGGTGCTGGAGTAGAGAAATTAAGAGTCACATAATTGAGAGATGACTTTGGGAATGTTGACATAACATTTTTTTAAATTTTATGATCACGTGACGTTAATATCTGACGGTGACCGTTTGTATGTGATTTTCTACATACCATCACTTTTTAAGCCTAGTAATACTTTACTTAATAACCCAGGGTAATCCACTCTGTTTCTTCGCTAGACAACTCTCACTTTCCATAACGGACAGCTTTCTCAACACATTTTCACACACGATAAAAAAGAAAGTAGACCGTCCCTGAGTCCACCCAACTCACGTTAGGGAAATAAAAGGCGGCTGGGCATAGTGCTGACCACACTATCTCTTCATATGCCTAGGTCACAGAAACAAGTGAACTCTACTTCACTTGCCCTATAGACCGTCAGGTTTGAAAAGGGAACTTTACTTTTAAAAAAAAAAGAAAAATATGTATGCCTTTCCTACCACCATCCCACTTTTTGGCTTTGGAAACTTTGTAAAAAAAAAAAAAAACTTCTTCAATCGCGAAGTTTTTAATTATATTTTGGATATTAATTATCAGAAAATTGATTTTTCGATTTGTTTATGCAGAAACCGCTCTGTCAGTAAAATGTGTCAATATGCCGATCAGTCACACATTCAGTCGAAAAATCGATTAATCGTTACGCAACATCCATAACGTGCAAAAAAATCGATTTAGAATAAAATTTTGGCGTTTTAAAAACAAAAAACGGCACATATCAGGACGGCTAGACCAAACTCGATATATATATATATATATATATATATATATATATATATATATATATATATATATATATTCATTTATACCTTATTTTAAATTTAAAGAAAGGCGTACTATTTTATTCTTTTTGGAGATTTGTTTTAAAGCTTGTTATTATATTTTTTATATTATTTTTTTTCATGAATGTAACATTGGTACATTTTGTGTGAGTGTTAAAATATGATGTGTTTTTGTGGGGGTGGATTAAGCATGTTAGGAGTGTCAAAGAGTGTTAAAGCTTCTAAGAAAAGTGTTGCGGACAGAGGAAAACCCTAGGCAGTGTTTCTTCCAGATTTTTTTCTCGGGGGGGGGGGGGGGGAGGAGGGGGGGGGAAGGGGGGGGGGGGGAACTTGATATTTTCGGTTTTCGTGGGGGGGGGGGTGGTGGGTTAACGGTCAATCAATAAATTCCGAGGGGGGGGGGGGACACTGGTAAAAGTATATGTTTTCTATATAAATTCCTTGTCGTTCCGGGGGGGGGGGGGGGCCGGTAGACTTTTTTCTGGGGCGGGGCCCGAAAAGATGCTTGAAGAATTTCTGACCATAGTTAGTGCTTATTTTAGACATTTTGCTCCAGGTAAGGATTTGAAACTTCCGAGTTAGTGTGTGAGTGTGAATGTGTGTGTGTGTGGGGGGGGGGTGGATTGTTAAAATATAAATTTTCTATTTAATTAAATTTAATTTTGTCCAGTGGGGCACTGGACGGGGTCAGAGGAGGTGGGGGAGGGGGGGTGCTACTGCGGCCCGCCTCTAGAGACATGCCCGAAGGAAACAATGACGTGATACAATACATTGTTACTCATATTGTTTAAATTCACTGCAGCCTAGTATCTATAATATAAGCGGGCTGAGCGTGTCCTTCCTTCCTTCCTTCCGTCCGTCATCGCTATAGATTTTGGGACTATAAAAGTAAACTACGCACCATGCTGTGCTTTTCAGTGCACCGCAGTGTCTTATTATAAGTATTACAGTAGGGTTTGTTTATATAGCCACATAGCGCTATTTTATAATTGCCACTGTGTTTACTCTTTTGCATAACTTAAAGAAAATATTAAATACACGAAAATGGCTACAACATACTTAAAAAATCAATGTTAAATATCATTTTCGTTTATATTCTTAGAAAAAATGGATATATTTTCATGAAAGTAGGTCGAAAAAACTAATTAATTCAACTTTTGTTTGGTAATTTTTTTACAAGGGAGGTAATTTAAAAATATATTTAACTCATCAATATCTAAGTTAATTTTTTTTTATTACTACCGCATTGATTATTACATGTTAAGGTTCATAATTAAAAGAGAAAAATGTTAAGATTATTTATATTATTTATTATTATTTTCTAATTAGTCTATGATTTCTCAAAAATCACTTTCTTTTTGCTTTTGTTTTTCGGTGTTATGAAAACAGATGGTAAAATTTGACTTTTTGAGAAGACTGGAAAGGCTCTCTCTGAGCGCGGACGTATGGGAAAATTTTTTTTTTTAATATTTAACTCACTCTCAATAATTTAAGTTATTTTTTTATTACTTCCACATTGATTATTATATGTTAAGGTTCATAAGTAAAATAGAAAAATGTTAAGATTATTTATATTATTTTCTAATTAGTCTATGATCTCTCAAAATCACATTTTTTTGTTTTTGTTTTTCGGTGTTAACAGATGGTGAAATTTTAGGATTATAGTATAGAGAATGCTGAAAAGGCTCTCTACGGGCGCGGACGCCTGGGAAAAGCGTGTTTTTCGGTGGTGATTCTAATTACATTGCCAATGTGTTTTCTTAGAACCATAAAAGTAAACACCACTTGCCGTACATTTATTTGCATTGCATTGTTTTATTGTAAGTTATAGAGTAGAATCTATTTTTGTGACTTAAATAAAGGCTCTCTTTGGGCGCGGACGCCTAAAAAAGCGTGTTGTTTGGTGGTGATTCTAATGTTGTGGCTGTGGTTGTTTTGTGGTTGTTTTGTGGTTGTGTTGAGGTTGTTTTGTGGTTGTGTTGTGGTTGTGTTGTGGTTGTGTTGTGGTTGTGTTGTGGTTGTGTTGTGGTTGTGTTGTGGTTGTGTTGTGGTTGTGTTGTGGTTGTGGTTGTGTTGTGTTGTGGTTGTGTTGTGTTGTGGTTGTGTTGTGGTTGTGTTGTGGTTGCGTTGTGGTTGTGTTGTTGTGTTGTGTTGTGGTTGTGTTGTGGTTGTGTTTGTGTTGTGGTTGTGTTGTGGTTGTGTTTTTGTTCGTTTTGTTCTGTTCCAAAGTTGTACATTTAAAAAGATTTACCGTGGCGGAGCACGGGATGCAGCTAGTCTATAATATAACCGGGCTGAGCGTGTGTCAGTCCTTCCTTCCTTCCTTCCTTCCTTCTGTCATCGCTATAGCTTTTGGAACCATAAAAGTAAACATCGCACCATACTGTGCTTTTCAGTGCACCGCAGTGTCTTATTATAAGTAATAGAGTAGGGTTTGTTTATATAACGACATAGAGCTATTTTATAATTGCCACTGTGTTTACTCTTTTGCATAACTTAAAGAAAATATTAAATACACGCGCATTGCTAAAACATATTAAAAGCATCAATGTCAAATATCATTTTCGTTTATATTCCTAGAAAAAGTGGATACATTTTAATAACATAATAACAGTACGGTAGAAAAATCAAATTAATTTAACTCTTTTCTAATTTTGACAAAGGAGGTAATTTAAAAATACATTAAACTCACGCTAATAAAAAATATGAATGCAAATATACGTTCGTCATAGAAGGAATTAGTGTTGCAATAATATAATTAGCAAAATGTGAATGCAAATTATTCGGATGTGTAAGAGGAAATTATTGTTAGAAAATTATAATTAGCATGGATTGATAAAAGGCAATCTTTTATTTATTTTATTCACTGAATGTAGGCCCTACCGTTTATTACTTATCATTTTTAATCAACTATTCAGCACTATTATAGACGCGTCATCACGTTCATTAGGTGCGCAATGGTTTTAGTTATGAAACTCTATTGTAAATTTTTAAAATGTTTAAGTACTGGAAAAAAATGCGTGAATGGATAAAGTGAAATATTGTAGGTAAAACACGGATATTTTAAATACTGCCTATTATTTATACTGATTTCTAATTATTATTCTATCTTTCGGGTTTTATAGGAGAGGCGTAGCGAGGGGGGCATAGGTCCCCGGGTGCCGACCTTAGGGGGCGCCAAAGAGGGTTGGAAAAAATTTGCGAGGGGGGGGGGTGGTGGAAATCGAAAGTTTTAGGGCGGGGGGGAAGGGGTGCAAATCGAAAGTTTGAGGGGGGTGCAAATCACCGGAAAGGGCGCGATTCGGCGCTACGGGCTAGACTGTGAGCAATATGCCTGTATGATTGCATTTAAATTGTGTTTATGTTATAAGTGTTGTGTTTGTTTTTTCGTTTTTTTTTTGTTTTTTTTTTGCGTTCGTTTGTGTTGTGTTTAGTTTTGTTCTGTTCCCAAGTTGGTACATTTAAAAAAGATTTACCGTGGCGGAGCACGGGATGCAGCTAGTTAATTATAAATGAGTTTAATCTTAACTATTAATATTGTAAACTATTAGATCGCTAGTGGAATTGGTGTGATGCTTGAGGGAAGCATTGGTCGCAGATGCGTTTCAGTAGGGTGGTGTAGGTAGAATTTTGTTTTTCAATGGTAATCCGGGTTGTGTAGTACTTTATAAAATTGTTCTGAGGTACAAAATTAAAAAAGAAAGATTGTATGATCAATGTGATGCGTTTGAACTTTGAACATTCGAGCATGAATACTTCTTTTGTTGTTTGTGCAAACTCCTTCCCTTATATAGTTTCAAAAGAAACACAGAATGACCAGCACTTGCTAGTTCTAGCACCAACAAAATGGTTTAAAACATCCTATGTTTCTAAACAAGCTAATTGATAACATAAAACGATTTTTAGATATTTTTTTATAAAAATGAATAATTAATATGCAATTTTAAAATGCAATAATAAATACATCGAAACATAGAATATTATTTAATTTTTTAAATATTTGAGTTACTTCCCATGTTAAAATTTTATATAATCAGGGGAGACTACTGTTTTTGAAATTCTATAAATTGTTAAAAATTTTGGGACACATCAGAAGCTAAATTTAATATATAAATTCTTGTATACTATTAATAATGTTGTAATCTAAATTATTGGTAAAATTTTGATTGCGTTAGTATTATTACGCTTAGATATTGGATATATCATTTTGTAATAGTCTATATACAAAACTTTTACGATTTTGAATAATTTATTAGTAGATAAAAAAGTTTTCTCATTACTTGTTATTAACAAAATTTTCAGTTGTAGTAGTTTGAGTAATACAGAGTCGCTATATTCCCACGGTCGTTTGTGTTTCTGTCCATAGGTCCACTCTTGGCTTCACAGGTGAAGATGGAGCACAGTAAACTAATTACTATACAGTCAAAAGAGTTGCACGCCCTATTTTAGTCTAATTCTTATGCTAATTTTACCCTCTCCATTTAATTACTATACAATTTATGCTCATGTGTTTGAAACTATAAAACTACAAAATAATGTAATTTATGCTCATGTGTTTGAAACTATAAAACTACAAAATAATGTAATTTATGCTCATGTGTTTGAAACTATAAAACTACAAAATAATGTATTTATATTTTAAATGTTTAAAATAAATTTACTAAAAAAAGAGAAGAAAAAAAAACGGTAGGAGGACTGCTATAGATATTTCAACTGTTTGAAAGGGAAGAATGTTTGATTTGATGTGTCTCATTGTACTCATCATTTTCGGTTGTTTATAATATTTATAATATTATTTTTCTTTAATCCCAAATTTTATTTCAGCCCTACTTAAAAGCTCAAACCTCCTCAACCCACCGTACAGATAATTTAAAAACGTCCATCGAATCAGAATTTAATTACACATTTGTATTTTCAGGTTTAAAAATAAAATTTTAATTAGAGGTTTTGTATTAAATCTATGTATAAGTAAACCATCTTAAATGAATGAAAGTAGGCTACAAGTAAGAAAGAAGTATTACTATTGTAAATCTGCATCAGTCCTCACAAGCCGATGAAAAAAAAATGTATTACTAAAGCGAAAACTGACGCTGTACATTACAGGTCGGAAGCCAAGAAAATGTATTTCTTGGAAGCTTAGTCTAAAACATATGCATTAAGCACGATTATGCTTTTCTTTTCTTCAAATTGTGTTAACCCAATTATTACTTAATAATAACTTTGATTAAGCCATATAATCTGCTCTATAACTCTGCCTTATTTAATGTCCATGTATTCTTCCCTTTAATTCTGCCCTCAGTTCAGTGCCTCCTTCTGCCACACCCTGCCCTATGTGCCCCTACATTCTACCCGTTCATTGTGCCCCCTCTGCCCCCTACATTCTACCCCTGCATTGTGCCCCCTCTGCCCCCTACATTCTACACCCTCTGCCCCCTACTCTTACACTTACATTTTGTCTTCTGCAGCTGTTGTGACCTCGTACTCTCCAACAGAATGGCTTGGTGTGACGTCGACAGGTTGTCGTCTGATCCGTTGTCTGCCGTCGCCATCTTGAGCGAACCTCTGAGGATAGAAACACGTGATTCACGTTTTACACAATCACGGAGAACAATCACTTGGAGCACAATCATAAAAACACAATCGCATCTGTTACAAAAATTAAAAAACACAACAATATTGGTGACAATCACATCGAAAACAATCGTAATGGAGACAATCACAAAAACGAAATAATATCGAACGCAATCGTATGAAATACAATCTTAATGAATACAATCACATAGGTCACAATCTCACACAATCTTATGGAACGCAAACATAATCTCATAAAACACAATCATATGGAGCATAATTTCATGGAACACAATGACTAGGATTTTAATCATTAAAACACAATTGTTATTTTTGCAAAACAAAAGTTTTAGAACATTGTTTTTCCTTTAAGAGAAAAGCAATTTTTATGCTTTTAAGTACATCGAGTCGATTTGTACATGCCATTAAATATAGAGCAAAATTAAAAAACAAACACTGTTAGACATATTTCTCTAACAAATAGTTGATTTTATAAAGGTAATGTACATCAATAAAGGAAGATGAAATGCAATATCTACACATGTGCATTTAGAATGAGTCTGGTTTCGTCTTTCATTATAGACGGTGAGAGTTTTAAAAGAGCTGATGGTTCGTGATGTTGATCACAATGTACACAAAGAGTGAAATTATAAACATCCACAGTTGCAATTGACGCTGTATATTACATGTCTGGGGCAAAATTTAAAATTAAATGCATATGGAACGGAAAATATCGTGACGAGACTGAAATCAGCAAAAAAGAAATAGAAAGCACTGATATATTTGTTTTGTTAACGGCAAGTCGTATCCGAATTTGGACATCCGATGGACTCCTGTTTGTCACATTCGATTTATAAAGTTTGCACGTGAACTGTGGAAATGAAAGTTTGGGGGCCGAAATATTTTTTTCATAGCTTAATAATCTAACTAAGAAAGGTGGTCGGCGTGGTCGGGTTGGTTAAGCTCATGGTTGCTGAACCGATAAGTCCCGAGCTCGAATCCCCCAGATGATAATCGATAGCTTAGGGACAGAAGCTATTCTAGTAGAGACATCTCCAAAATCAAACAACTACTGCCTTGTAGTTTGTTCTTGGTTGGACAACGAATGGAGCATAACCAGTTGACACGTAATACTTAATTGTGTTTCAATCCATTTCATCACTAAAATTAAGAACGAAGAAGAAGAAACTAAGAAAGTAATTTTGTTTACTAAATAAGAGGTCAATTAAACTCAGAAAAAAAATTCTTTATTAATTAAGTAACGAAACAATCAAACTAAGAAAATTATTTTGTCTGCTAAATAAAAAAATGTGTACTTTTAAACTTCGATTAAAGGGTAGATATAAAAATTTGGTAAAATTTGCTACAGACAGAAGACAATTTAATTAGAAAGGACAAAAATAATAGTTGGAAAACTAATTTTGTACTATGATGTCTTTAGGAAAAATTCGACATTAAAAAAACAGTATTATGTTTATAATTAGATCCGTTGTACTTTAATGATTTTTCATGCGTAGTATTTTGTGACTTCCGCCTACACAGGTGACTATCACGTGACACATGTCCACGTGACAGAGAGATTAAGACACCCGGCTGAAACATAAACACACAATTCATCATCTTCTTCTTCTTCGTTCTTAATAGGGCTGGTAAGTAGGTCACCAACCAGTTCTATGGCTCATGCAGGTTTTATTGAGCCGTAGAACTGGTTGGTGACCTACTTACCAGCCCTATTGTGATGTTGGACATGATTTCCTCCAACACAAATATTACGTGTTAACTTGTTATGCAACTTCAGCCTGCTTTTTTTTTAGATTTGCCTCCATAGCCTTGGTCTATCCAATGCTTTGTAGTCAATATAGTTTTAGTGGCGCTATTTCGAGTCCGTACTTGATGCAGTAGTTGGATGTGGTGTCAGCAACTTCAGCCACAACAACCCCTCGTCCGGCTGACTCGCCCCCCCCCCCCTCCCCCGCTGGTTTATTGATGTGACGCTTCCCCCGACGGCAAAATGACGAGGACTCATCTATTGGTTATTTGATGTTTTTCCCACCCCGACCGCGACCCCTATTTGATCCCTTTATGTTGACACTGCTGCGTGTCTGCGACCCCTATTTGATCCCTTCATGTTGACAGGGACGATGACGTCACACACGGGGACGAAATTCCCCAAATGAAAATACTAATAACGCCTGGTAATATCAGGTTGTCGTCTGCAAAAAAGTCTGGAACCCTACAGGCGGTTTTAGAGGTCGGGAGCTTTTCAAGCAGGTGGGATATTTGTTAGGGATGGGGCGGGGCGTGGGAGGGAGAGGGGGGTCAAAGTCCAAATTATAACCTTTGTATGGTAGCCGGGGTCTTGAGTGTCAGACTATTTCTGGAGTCGAGGGTACCAGGGGAGACAATTAGACAAAAGATCAGAGTCTTGTAGTGCTAAAGGAGGACCGAGGAGGTAATCAGGGCGGTTCAGTCGAGGATGAGATCTCTTCAGAAGGTGGGATTCAACTTTGATTTTTCTGTCAATAGTGGTAAATAAAGTAGGGTATAAGTAGAGTAGGGTTCAGTAGGGTAGAGTAGTGTAGGGTAGAGCAGAGAAGGGTAGAGGATAATAAGATGGGATGGGATTGGATTGGGTTGGATAGGATAGGATACGACATGAAATGATAGGATAGGATAGGAGAGGATGGGATGGGATGGGATGGGATAGAATAGGATAGAATAGGATAGAATAGGATAGAATAGGATAGAATAGGATAGAATAGGATAGAATAGGATAGAATAGGATAGCATAGGATAGCATAGGATAGCATAGCATAGCATAGCATAGCATAGCATAGCATAGGATAGCATAGCATAGCATAGCATAGCATAGCATAGCATAGGATAGCATAGCATAGCATAGCATAGCATAGCATAGCATAGCATAGCATAGCATAGCATAGCATAGCATAGCATAGCATAGCATAGCATAGCATAGCATAGCATAGCATAGCATAGCATAGCATAGCATAGCATAGCATAGCATAGCATAGCATAGCATAGCATAGGATAGGATAGCATAGGATAGGATAGGATAGGATAGGATAGGATAGGATAGGATAGGATAGGATAGGATAGGATAGGATAGGATAGGATAAGATAGGATAAGATAAGATAAGATAAGATAAGATAAGATAAGATAAGATAAGATAAGATAAGATAAGATAAGATAAGATAAGATAAGATAAGATAAGATAAGATAAGACAGGATAGGACAGGACAGGACAGGACAGGACAGGACAGGACAGGACAGGACATGACATGACAGGACAGGACAGGACAGGATAGGATAGGATAGGATAGCATAGGATAGGATAGGATAGGATAGGATAGGATAGGATAGGATAGGATAGGATAGGATAGGATAGGAGAGTAAGAGCAGACACATTATTTGGAGCAGGAGTAGTAGGTTGTGGGTAGGGTACATTACAGCACGGCACCCAGCCACACTTCATCATTTTCATACAACACTACACCTACATTACGTGTTTACAGTTCAAAAGACACTCAGGACGTCCTTTAGACGAAACAAATGATGCAATGAATACTTTCATCAGGCTATATTTAGCGTTAAATGTCAAAAAACATGCAAGGAAAAAAACACAGTCTGGAACAGACTCGACTAGACAACGGAAGCCCGGGGGTGGGGTATTAGACAAACCAAGCCCGGGGGTGGGGTATTAGACAACGGAAGTCCGGGGGGCTGGGTTTGTAGCTAAGGACCGGTGGGACAATAAGCCCACTTAAAACTGCATCTTCTCCCCGTCGTATCGATTAGCCGTCCCCACCCCGGGTACATGACGGTTGGTCGATCAAACGTCCAATTACGGTCGCACAAACATCACGCGACCATAGTGTAGATGAGACCGCTGGCTTTAATGCGAAAACCTTGCACGGTAGTTTACGCGCTGGAGGTATTTTTTTAATGGGAATTTCCGATAACGCGAAGGAAGGTGCACTACGGAGCCCGCGTCAAACGAGTCTTGTTAACGAACGTTGAGAAGTTGGTCAAGCACGCAAACATCCACTTAATGACTCTAATCACACACTTTCCTCCCCGCCTCCCCCCACTACGATCTTCCTTTTATTTTCTTAATGGCTATATCCGTATACATAATTAACTTTATTTTCCTTTATACTTTACCTACAGCTTCGCAGGCACGGGTGGGGGTGGGGTGGGGGGTGGAGGAAGGGTAAAAGTATAATTTGACTTATAGAGTTAATCACCAAACACAAATTTGGCTCGTTATATTACTTCCGTGTTTGATACGCGTTTGATATTTACACTACGCAAAGGTGTTTGGAAATTGTGTAGGTGATTAAATTGACTGTAATATTTGTTTTAAAATATTGGAAGTTCTACCAGTTTAATGCTGTTTCTGACTCAATGTATCATGTGGTTTTTCGCAAGTGGTGTTGTAAAATAGAGGCGGATCTAGAAGGTGTGTTAGCGAGGGGGTGGGGGTGGGGCGTTAGCCTAGCGCGTAAAGTATTTTTGCTACATGAATGAGAAGAGCTGAGTTTCAAAGAGTGATATACTAGACGCCATTATACGAACATCATTAAGAAAAAAAAATTGCCCAGAGGATAGGCATCATTTGATCTTTATACAAAGGTTCTAATTAATTGGCAACAGGGTAGATCTCTTTTTTTTTACATTTAAAAAAAAAATGTCGGAAGTCGTGTTTTGAAATATATTTTAGCATAGTAAAGGGTATAGGTGGGCCGGCGGATGTGTGTTACTGGTGCAAGTTAATTGGATAATAATATTGTTGTAGGTTATATGATAAAAGATACGACGTGGGTGGCGAAGACAAATAATTGACGTCTCATGTAGTGACCTTAATGATTATAACGTAGGACTAAAGTGCAGAATATTTCAAGCTTTCATCTTATTTTAAGCAGAAGTTGTAGCTGTTTGTCTGTTATTTCATGATTTCGCGTCTAAACTG